CCACCCCCACCCGGGAGAAACCCCCCCCCCCGCCGGGCCCAGGTCCGGGGAAGAGCCCCGCCCCCGCGCCGCCCCCGCCCCGCACGACAAGAGGGGCCGCGGAGAGAGGCGTCGTGGTCCCCCCCTCCGGAACCACCGCCCGGGGCGGGCAGAGAAGAAGCCCCTGTGCAAGGGGGCAGGCCCCGGCGAGGCGCTCTGCACTGGCTCAGAGGCACGCCGGCGGAGTGGCCGCCCAGGGCACCTCCTCCTCTGCCGCCGGGAGGGCTTCTGGGCCCAGACGAGGGGTCAGGCCACGCCGAGGGAGGGAGGGAGAGAGGGAGGGGAGCTGGGACTCTCCAAGGCCGGGCCTCTGACCACCACTGGCAGAGGCGCCGCAGAGGTAGACTGCGTCCGAACCAGGAGGCTCCATTCCCCCGCGGGCAAGAGCCGCACTGAGCCTGAGGTCCTCCGCCCGCGAATCCTTGGAAGAACCCCCCCCCCAAGAAGCAGGCCGCGCCGGGGTTTGTGTGTGGGGGGCGTTAGAGCTGCCGGCGAAGCGAAAGGGCCGGCCCCGTCGAGGCGAGGGGGGGGCGGCTGGCTTCAGGGTCTGCGCTGGGGAAGGCTGTTGGCTTGCCTTCCAGTCGCTTCCGACGGAGGAGGGGGAGGAAGGGCCCCAGGGATCCACGCCCCCCCCCCAAGACCGGGGCTCCATCCAGGCCCCCGCGCACGCCTCGGAAGCCCCCTAAACAAAAAGCAACCCTGGGCCGGGTGTGTGCGGGTGTGTGTGTGGCCCGGCTGGCAGGGTCGCGCGGGACGTTCCGCGGCGGTCCGGTCGCTTCCGACGGAGGGCCCCCGACGCCAGCAGGGACTCGCGCACGGCCGCCGGCCGCCGCCTCCTCCTCCCCCGAGGTCCGGCTGCGGCGGCTCAGGACTCTGTGTGTGTGTGTGTGTGTGGGGGGGATGGGGCTCCAACCCGCCCTCCTCGGCCCTCAAGCTCCCGGGAGGGGGTGGGCTCGGCCGGCTGCCACGGGGCAGGGAGGCAGGCACCCCCTGGGGGCGGCCCTGTAGCTAGGGGTTTCTGGGGCAGGGGGCCGAGGGGGGGCGGCAGCAGCTAACCCATCCTCCCAGGTCATCTCACGACCTGCGCTGGAAGAAGGCGCAACAAGTGCCAGACCTTCCGCCTGCGCTCTTCCTCACGCATTGCCGAATGTGCGGCAGCCACAAAGAACAATGGTGCGTGTTCCTCTCTGCCATTTACAACTTGGGCTGAACCCCAGAGCGAGGATTGCCTGCAGAACTGCGGGGGAGTTCCCGAGGGGGCACCCGGGACCGCCAGGAGAGTTCTGCGCCCGGGAACCCAAACACCTCCCCGAAGGGAGCTGGCCCAGAAGAAATGTGAGGGGGACGGGGTGGGCCCCGTGTTAGCGACGGGGCTGCCTGGGGGCGGCCTGTTCGCGACCCGGCCGCCCCCCCTCGCTTCCCGGGCATCTCCCCCGAGGCCTGGTGGAGGGGGGGGGGCGGTGTCCGAGGGGGCTCTCCCTCTCTCCGTCCCTCCCTCCCTCCCTCCCTCCCGGCGGGCGTCGCTGCCTCCTGTGCTCCTGGCTCCCCGCCCAGCGACCGCCCTGCCCTCCCCTCCCCCCCGGTGCGGGGGGGCGGGGCCGGTGTGGGGGGAGAAGGGCTGGTCGTCCCCGCCCCCCCGGCGCTGGGTGCCGATATAAGGGCGGCGGGCGGCGGCGGGAGCAGTCGCACCGGAGAGGAGCAGCAGGCAGCGCCAAGATGAGTCTGAGCGAGGACGACAAGGCCCACGTGAAGGGCATCTGGACCCATGTGTGCAGCCACGCCGAGGAGTTCGGCGCCGAGGCCATCTACAGGTAAGGCCGCCCCGTCGGACGGGGGCCCGGGGAGCGCGTGGCGGAGGCGGCGGGGTGGGGTGCCTGGGGCGGCGAGCGCGGCCGACCTGACCGGGCGCGCTCCCTCCCTCCCTCCCTCCCTCCCTGCCGGCAGGATGTTCGCGGTGTACCCGTCCAGCAAGACCTACTTCCCCCACTTCGACATGTCCGCGGGCTCCGAGCAGATCCGGCAGCACGGCAAGCGGGTGGTGACCGCCCTCTCCGACGCCGTGGCCCACCTGGACAACGTCGGCGGCACCCTCTCCAAGCTCAGCGACCTCCACGCCCAGAAGCTGCGCGTCGACCCCGTCAACTTCAGGGTGAGTGCCCGGGGGGAGGGGAGGGGAG